AAAAAAGTCGGTGGTTGGGGGGGAGCAACTTGGTAGAGTATATTATCATGAAATTTCTCCCATTTGGGAACAAATGACAACAAGTCCACAATGAAGGTTAGCAATGTAAACAATACAGTGAAGGCTCGATTTTTATAGAAATAAGAAAGAGAAACTTTATTCACAATATAGACAACTGTTATATTTAGACAAAAAGAATAGTACTTGAATTGCACTAATAATGATACTTTAGCCTTTGAAAAAATTAACAAAAACAAAATTTTTCATGTACTTGAAAGATAACCAAGGATTCCCAAGATAATTTTAATTTCCATAAATCTACCAAAAGTATCCTTCCCTTAATCGTAACTGGTAAACATAATAAAATGTTCAGAGGAAACCTTAATATGCTCAATGATCCCCTCTCTTTCTTGTTCATATATTACTTTGCAATACTCATCATATAAGCCATCCCTTTCTAATCTGAGAGTTACCCTTTTAATACATTCAGAGCTACAGAATAGTTGGATGTTACAAAATTTATCTTCTCTTTGTCCCAAGGCAATTTGACATAGAATTATTTTTATATGCAATAGAATTTTTGAAATGCTCTAATTTTTCCTTGTTGTAATTACTTATTGGGTTATTATGTAAACCCAGCGACTTCAAAATAAACATTTTTTTCTATTTTTCTTTCTACATTGGATTCGTCAAAATTATCCATGAATGGACCCAAATATTCAGACTTGGGTTCCAAAATAAAGTTCACATTCACAACCAGACACACCGAATATGATAGTATTAAAACTTGAATCCTTCCAATTAGAAGGAAATAAGGCTTTAGTTTTCTGATTTGAATGCAAAAAATTGTCTATACTACCAAAGGGAATTATATCCTCTAAAGTTTCCCATGCAAAGTCTCTATACATTTGATCAACACAAAAGCAGACAATAAAATGTCTGCAATAAAAAAAGTCATTAAATTAGCAAACAACACATCTAATATTTTGACACTTGTATACATGATTTTTCTTTAATTTAAAATACAGTATATCTACAAAATAAGTGTACATATGAAAAATAAGAATGTTTTTTTATTTTAATTTCCAACATATATCATAGCTAACACTATCTGCGACTCTTATTATAAGCTATATCTAAGTAACCCCATAAGTATAAGATATAACTAATAATAGCTAACACTACCTAGCTTGAAAATCTGTTACAGCTATACTTAATAGCTTTAGGCATAGCTGTTACAACTATACCTAATAGCTTTAAACCTACATAAAAAAGTAAACATTAATAGGTACCCTTCATCCAACCCTAGATATAAGCTATACAATAGCTAACTCTAGCTCCAACCCCAGCTGTAAATAATAGCCAAACCTAATTCCAATATAAATAATGGAAAACCCTAGCTCCAATCAGTATAAGCTATACCTCATAGCTAACCCTAGCTCTAACCCATGGCATAAGTTATACCTAATGGTTAATCCTAGCTCCAAACCTAGGTTTCAGGTATATATACCCCTAGCTCACCAAACCCATGTCTCAGGTATACAAAATTAATTAATAAACTATACCTAATAACTAAACCCTAGCTCCAAGCCTATGTGTAAGCTATAGTAAATAGGTAACCCTAGCTTCAACCATAACACATAAGCTGTCGCTAAGTTTCAACACAACATATGACATGTTCAGCAGAGGAGGGGCAAATTCACCAAAAATTAAAAATTGCTTTTTTCACTGCAAATTCATTTTATCATATCCAAGTATTTTACAAAAAAATAGAATTGATTACACAATATTTCAAGTTCAATTTAGGTTTATAGTTTGTAACCATGCAATGAGATGAGGTAACATAAACTGTAGATTTGTCTGCGGAATATCATTATATTATTGTTACATAATTATAGTGAAATCATTAAGGTTTTTTGTCAAAAGCATTTTATTTTTGGTCGTATATTAATTTAAAATATTCCTTTTTACAGTTTTTATTTTTGAAATGAAAAAAGATCATTCTAAATTTCAGAATTTCGCTATTACCCATCAAAATGACTGAAAGAATGCGATCTAAAAATGTACAACAATGGAAAAGAGAGGTAACAAAGCATAAATGAAATAGTGGAGAAGAATATGTCAGTAATTACACAAAAAAAATAGCAAGGAATAAGCAATAGAACCAGTATGTACATGCAAGAAAGATTTCTTTGACAAAATTGGTGGATTGGAAAAAGTTTCAGCAATATTTTAATTTTTTTTAGAATATGTGAAGTTTCGACAAGTAGAATGGCTACATACAGAGATTTGTTATCAGACATTCAGTAAAGTGAACTTACAAAAAACAGGGATTGAATAGAAGAAATGCAACTTTTACATACAATGTAATGTCTCAAGGAGTGATGCATTATAATTCTTTATAAAGAAACATTACAATAACATTATGTAACGGCAATAACATCGGTTTCACAGTATTGGAGCAATCTGACTTTAGATTTTGAAGCTTTGAAATGAAGCAATGTTAAAAAGAAATTGACATCTGCTAAATTTGTCAACTCTAGAAAATTAATCTTTGACCATCAGTACAAAGAAGGCTATATAATTTCTACTACATATGATACAAACTCACAGAGTAGTCATCCTGTCAGATTACAAAAAGGGAAAAAAATCTTATAGCTCCAGTTTATATAACTTAAGAAACTTAGTATTGCAGCCAAAGTATTCTAAAATGCTGCCAATAACAGAAGAAAATGAAAGATCTAAGAGATTTAACTGAATTGATGCCAATAAATACAGCAAGTTATTATTGAAATTTGATTGAAAAACTAGAAATAAACCAAAGCAACAAATAAAATGATACCAGTTTTGATGAACATGATGAAATAATGGACTACACAACCTAAATATATAACAACAAATTGAATATAGCATCAAAATTTATATTTATTTATTTATTATATAACTAAATACACAATTGTCAACAATGTTTCTGTAAAACTTTCTATTTCCTGTAATAAATTCTTAATAAATATTATTGTTATTATTTTACTTATGTGTAAAGTAGTCTTGCATTTTACAGTTCCTTATGGCTAACCATGAAAAAATTTTTTGATCAAAACTGCCTAAAACCTTTAAGTGCGTATTGCCACAAATTATCAAATGTTGAATACTCCGCTCCTCAACTGAACATGTCATATAAGCTATATCCAATAGCTAACCTTAATTCCAAACCTATATATAATTTATAGCTAACCCTAGATAAAAGATATACATATGGCTAGCCCTAGCTCCAAACATAGTATAATCTATACTGAATAGCTAACCCTAGCTCCAAAGTTATATCTAATAGCTCCAACTATAAGTATAAGATATTACCTAAGAGCTAATCTTTGCTCCAACCTTAGCTATAAGCCATTCATAATAGTTAACCCTAGCTCCAACTAGTTATAAGCTATACTTAATAGCTCCAACCACAGGTTTAAGCTATACCTACCCTAGATCCAACCTGTGATATGATATATACCTCCAAGTTAACCCTATCTCTAAACCTAGATATAAGCTATACTTAATAGCTACCTCTATCTCCAGCCATTATGACAGGCTCTATCTTATAGGTAAAACCTATCTATAAGTTATACCAAAGTAATAGCTAAGCCTAGGTATAAGCTATGACTAATGGCTACCCTAGTTCCAAATCTAGACTTCAGCTATATCTATCTCCAGTTCCTACACAAGGTATAAGCTATACCTAATGGCTGGGACCAATTCCCCAGGCTGATAGCATCAAGAAAACACCTTCCTGACAAATTGACAAGTGAGATTCAAACCTGTGGTTGTAAAGTGAACATTCTAACCACTCGGTCACACACCCAACATATAAGATATACCTAATAGCTAACCCTAACTCCAACCCAAGTTATGTTATATCTAATAACTAACCATAGATCCAATAGCTAACCATGTTGTTATGAATAATATCATAGAAAAAATTATTAAATTAACTTCATGTAACCAATAATAGCATTTCTCTTTGGGAGAACGGTTTACTAAAAATGAAACTTAACTAAACATTATTAGAATTAACTTTCTTGGGAGAGATTTTGTAACAATAAGATAGATGAGAAAAAAAGGATTAATACATTATTTCTTTAAATCAAGTAAAATTAAAATGTTACATTTTGGTGTACAAAACAGGGTAAAAATTCAACTTCCTTTTTTCATTTAACTGAAACTAAAAATCTTTGCTCCCAGTGGAACATGATTTGAGATAAGACTCCAGTTCTGGGAGTGAGTTGCATTATGACTTGGCCTGAAGTAAAGAACGCCATGTAGCTAACCCTAACTAACAATGTATAAACTAAACCTAATAGCTAACCCTAGCTCCAAACCTAGGTATACAAGGGTCAGCTGAAAAATTCATATGCTGACCAAAATCCTCTCATGGAATGAGACCAAATGAGGTCTATTCTTCAATATAGTTTCCCTTGCAGTACACACAGTGCTTCCATCAGCATTGCAGTGATTGAATCCCATTGGTGAAGAAACTTTCATCCTGTTGGTTAAAAAATCATCAACAATTGATATGACATTGTCATCAATGTGATACTGGTTCCCAGCCAAGTGTTTGTTGGAGAACAGGGAGTGTGATCAACCAATTCAAAACCACAGTCATGCATAGCAAGGATTTGTGTGCTGGAGTATCTGTCCTGGTGAAACAAGACCCTTTTCATCAGTTTTCCTGTGTGTTTGGTCTTGGTTTCATAACTGCCTCAGCAAATTGGCATAATACTCCCCATTGATAGTGTAGCCCTTCACAAGTAGCCATCATTTGAAAAAATAATCCTTTTACCAGCATAAATTGTTAAAGAACTTACACAAAGTAAATGTGCAATGATAGAAATTGAAATACTGTTTTTAATAAATGAGTATAAAATACTGGGATCAATTTAATTTTATTTCAAGAAAAATCTTGGATTAAAAACAAAAAATTAACTATGAAATAATTGGCATCATTTTGGTCACTGTAAGTTGCCATTAGTTAAGGTGGGCTTTTTGTAATCAGCAACTGTTCCTTTGGAAAGATAAGAAAAACCAGAAATATGTTGTTCATAAACTGCTTTGCCTGAAGAAATTTTCTTGTAATGTTCATTAAAATCCAATCGATAGCAAAGATACTGTAACTTATGATCCATATCAAACTTATTGATATCAAGTAAATTCAAAAACATTTGTACCATGTTCTGAAAAAAATAAAAAAATAAAAGTAAAATTTTATAAATATTAAACCAATTAGTAAAGAATTAATGAGTAATAAAATAACTGATAAAATTTAGTACTACTAGGAATTGGGAGGAAAAAGAGATTTTTCCACTGAAACCTCTGTAGAATAGCTCACACAAATATGAATAAGATTAACTTTCATAAATTTCAGAAACCGACAAATTGTCTTTCAAGAAGAAATCTGTTTATCAAAAAAAGAAGCACTGATGATCATTTAGACCAGAAAATGTTTAATAGTTAAAATTTTGATTTTCACAATGAATATGGAATTTACTATTTATCATTATAGTTGAAATAAGTATGTCTCATGCCATCAAGATGTTAATATTAGTCAAATAATTAAATACAATTTTACAAGAACCATTCTTGGATAAAATGATTAATGACCAAATTTATTTTTTAATTTTTATCAAGCACTAACAAATTTTATTCACAGCTATGCATATTTTAAGACATTAATTCAAGTCAGAAATGTATGTTAATTCACATTCAATTTTAATAACTGCATACTAAAAACACTGCATAATTTTGAGTAGATGTAAATATATGGAAATGTTTTTAACTATTTATCCATTTTTAATTATTTAAATCAACAAATTGTGTACCTGGTATGTGTTTGCCAGCACAAGAAATTCTGCTTTCATTGAAGCTACTTTCTCACAAAAATTAGCACGCCGAGTCATTTCAAGATCTTCCTCTGATGAAGTCAGGCCCCATTGTCCCTAGAAGATAATATTTATTTATTTATTTTTTATTTCCAGATTGTGTTTAAACATTAACATGGTATTTCAACACACACACATATTATTATTACCTACAACAGGAAAAAACACAATTTTTGATATGATTAATAATTATGATTTGTTATTCAAATCAGCATATTCATCTTGGTTATACTTATAATAAACTATAATGTTTTGGTCATTGTACTCCCACCACCTTCAGACTGTACAAAGACAGACACCTGAAGATGGTCTGATGGTATAATGGCTGAAATGTTGATAGATATGCCAGTTCAAATAGCAAACCATATAATAAAGAAAATCATGTTGCGGACCCGGCAGCATGCAGTGCTGGTTTATTACAAAGTGGCCTTGTGCCAGACACCGCACTAAACTACCGAGTCCACAAGCAATGTATAAAAAAAAATAATAATGCGTGAATGAACAGTGAGAGGAAAGGGGCCAATGAACAAGTGCATAAATTAATAAACATCAAAGAGATAGCCGGAATAAAATGACAAAGACGTCTGTTTGTAAAACATGTGTAACTTTAATTAGATGGAAACAAGTAGATTATCTCGTGGTACGAGATCAAGGAAAAGTTCCGTGCCTAAATAGAAATGCAAGATGAACAAGGCGGGAAAAAGAGTTTTATAAGGTTCTGGAAAAAGGAACTTGTTAAACACGAGGTGTATGCGCACAGATAGAAAGGAGTACTCACTGTGGATTTTTTTTTAGGCGTTGTAAGTGTGTGTGATATTTTGTGTTCAGGTTCATAGTTAGAAAGAATGTTCGGTCGTCTCAGAGTTTTTGGTGAGGCATTGAATTGGCTGCTGGAAATTTTACCAGATTGATGTGGGCATCTAGCCAGGAGAAACGAAGAATGTTTGAAGCGAGTTTCATGGTCTTGTGGAGTTGTTTACGGAGAGCCCAGAGAGACGAAAAATGTTTGTTCGTTAGTAATATATCCCTGTCTGTATTTACTGTTGACTGACGAGGGATAAATGTAAGTCACCTGTTGAATACAAAGTTTTGCCCACGACTGTGTTGTGTGTCTCGCACATTTTCTAGCAGAAAACGGAGAAGGTCTGACCTGCGGATAGCAAGTTGTTTGTCAGTAGGATATCCCTGTCTGTATTTACGATTGGTTCACTGACGAGGGATAAGTTCTGCTTGCGACTGTGTCGCGTCTCGAACGATGTGTCTCAAACGTTTTCTGGTCGAAAACGGAGCAACTGGTTGACCTGCGGGTAACGTCAAGACGAGAAGAAGTCTTGGTAAGGTGTGAGGTCGACATTGTTGAAATAAGATATTCCGGCCCGCATATGGGTTAAGGGAACGGAATAAATGAGTTGCCCGTCTAGTTAGGTCGAAAGTCGGGAGGCAACTGGTTGACCTGCGGGTAACGTCAAGACGAGAAGAAGTCTTGGTAAGGTGGTTTGTCTGTAGGATATCCCTGTCTGTATTTACGATTGGTTCACTGACGAGGGATAAGTTCTGCTTACACTGTGTCGCGTCTCGGTACGATGTCTCAAACGTTTTCTGGTCGAAAACGGAGCAACTGGTTGACCTGCGGGTAACACCAAGATGAGAAGAAATCTTGGTAAATAAGTGTGGGGGTCAACATCGTTGAGATAAGATATTCCGCCCCTCATATGGGTTAAGGGCACGGAATAAATGAGTTGCCCGTCTAGTCAGGTTGAAGATCGGGAAGCAACTGGCTTGCAAACGCTGGCCGTTTGAGACATGTGAAATGCACGGGAAAAAATTCAAAATCTGTTAGTCTGACTTCATCAGTAGGAGCTAGCGAAGTTCTTCCTCCAGGTTACTGCTACGTCTAGCTGTGAGAGGAAGGAAGGGGTGCAAACCGCACGCACACACACACGAGTGTGAAAGGAAGGGAGGAAACTCGCGCGCACGCGTAAAATATAGATGGAATTAATGTGTTAATTCCATAATCACATATCTTCTTAAATATATTTGAAAATTTTGAATTTTTATTAATATCAATAAATAAATTTACAACATAATATCAAAAGATATTGAAGTAAAATGAAATTTTGAAAATTTTTTATCCAAAAATTTGTTAAAGACATTTCTTTAATTTTTTTCATATTTAATTTGCAAGGTAATAAAATATTAATTATATGCAATAGAAAAATCAGAAAACATGTGAAGGAAACAAATTTGTTATGTAATGATATTTAGATGTTTACCTGTTTTGTTTTTTCTTTCCTTATTTGTTCATATTGAATTTGATTTTCTTTTTCCAAATTGCTACATTTATACAAATTATCCAAATTGGATTGAAACTGGATGATCAAATCAAAGATGGCTCGCAATTGTTTAGAAATATCCTTGCAAAAAAGAAAAGTTGACATCAAATGGTTTTTCATAAAGGCAAAAAAAATATGCAAAAGATATTAGATTCTTTCTAAAATTTTAATTTTTCAATTTTTTTAATTAACATTCAAATTTCTTATAATTTTTTGAATAATGAAAAAATTTTCTACTTTTTAGACAATTCATTAGTAAGTATGGAAATAAAGTTGTCTTACAACAATTTAAATATGTGTATAAAGAATATGTCAGAAGATATCAATGTGTATAAAAGACTATGTCAGAAGATATCAATGTGTATAAAAGACTATGTCAGAAGATATCAATGTGTATAAAAGACTATGTCAGAAGATATCAATGTGTATAAAAGACTATGTCAGAAGATATCAATGTGTATAAAAGACTATGTCAGAAGATATCAATGTGTATAAAAGACTATGTCAGAAGATATCAATGTGAATAAAAAAAATATGCAAAACACCAATAAAATAATCACTGGCAAAATTTCAACCCAATCAACTTAGTTCTGGTTTTAGCAAATTTTTTTTCTATATTCTCTAACATTATCTTTTTGAAGTCAGATTATTACTAGAAGTAGGTAATTATAAAAAAAAAAACTCTGGTTTGTTAAGCATCTTTGTGAATGTTCTTTGTTATTCAGTAAATTTAAAAGTGGTCAGCAATCTGATTTTCTTTATCTCTATCCACAGACAATATTCTGATATCCAATTCTTAAGTGAGATTAAAAAGTAACTAGAAAAGAAAAAATGCTTCAGTGTTAGAAAATGGCTTTCTTTCAAAAATAATTTAAATAAATCTTTTGTATTTGTTGCCACAAAACGAATTAGAATTTCTGTTCTTAATGTCAAAAAAGTTTACACTGGTATGCAAATAAAAAAAAAAATCCAACACATAAATACACAACCTTTGCCACAATAACACCCAAATCACAAACATCCTGAAATTTTTACAAGTACAAAAGTACAACCATTAATCCTAAGATTTCTCACACACAAATAAGGTATCACAAACAAAAGAGAAACAAAGCATCAGTAAATAGCATCAGTAGCATTTCATGTTAGTAAAATAACTTTTATACAAATCTTTCTTGTTAGACATGAAAATAAGTATTCTAAATTGTTTTTTTTTTATCACTACTGCTAGTAGAAAATGATTCTCAAATAAATCAGCAATTGAGAAGACCAACAATTAAAATTATACACAAAAAATATACACAAATTTGAATATTAACTAACATTCTAATAAAAACAGATAAATAAACCCACCTAAATAATTTCAGTGAAATCTTGAAACCATAAAAATGGAATAAGAATATAAATACTCTACCCTTATAACCATTTTATGACTATATCATTAGTTACTATATTTAATCAGATTCCTCATTTTATTATCAAACTGTATCAGATCCTAACTTTCCTAAGTATATATCAACTTAAATCAATGTATTTGAGGAAACCCCTTTCTTCCCCAAGTAACATTTGAGCCTAAGAGCCTTCATGAAGATATAGGTCACATCACAAATAATATGAACATAAAATGATAATTCTTGAATAAAAAGTTTTTCTTTCTGAAAAACACTTTCTTAATTCATACTAAATTCTGTATGTACCGCCACATTGCTTTTCTGTAATTTTGTGTTTGTTAAATATTAAACTTTGTTTCATATCAATTCAACCTGCCTCTTATAAAATGATAATTAAATACACTACAATAAAAATGCTTTCAGGTCCCACTATATATTATTCTACTAAATATGTACAAATCTAAAATTAACCAGATTATTATTCTAATAACAATTCAATACCAGATTATTTAAGAATTCTTTTAAAACTGTACTGCTGTATAAAAAAAGTTCATATCTTATTTAGAAATCTTCAGTTTATGTCAAATAAAGTCCGTAAAAAAAAGATGAAAAGTACTTACATAAGATTCATCATCCAATAAGCAACCAGTTGTAATTTCAACAAGAAATGAGCCATGAGCTTTGATTATGTCATTTAAATCCTTTGATTTTTTAACTTCTGTCACCAGTTTATCCCAAGAACACTCCAAAACCTAAAAATTAAAAAAACATAACTCATACACATACTAATCATATTCAAACAGCATGGAGAACATTTTAGATATGTATCTGATTAAGCAAACTTTAACACAATACCAGATGACCATTCCTAAACATGTTAGAATGTAGTACTGCCTTAAACAAAATAGGGGTGACTTTGGATGTTTTGCATGTTTGGAGCTTCAAAGCTTTCATAAAGTCACAATTTAGAAGTAAAAAATTAGACATCATAAAACTTTTGATGCCTGACCTCAAGGAGTTTGGTTGTTCTAACTTTGAAGAACCATATGAATGAAAGTCAAACTTTGAAAACTTAGCACAGGCAATGTTTCTTCAGATTTTTATAACTACAAATGCATAATTTGTTTAGTGAAGTTTAAGAAAAAACAATAGCATATTAATAGCACATACATGTATGTAAACATGTTTAACCAAAAACAAAAAATAACAGCAGCTTCAAATCACAAGAAAATTTCAATAACTAATTCTTGTCGGTTTAAAAGAACTGATTTCAGTAAACATTGCTTGAATTTTAGTCTTTGTGACTCCTACTACTGGGGAATATGAGTAACTGTTGTGGTGAGTACACTGGTGAATATATTAAATAAAAATAATGAAATTTAACCATTTTTAAAAAGCTGTAAATATTGCTCTGTTAAATGCAATGGATGTATACACACACAGAGGGTGGGATGGATAGATTGCTGTCTAAATTATGCAAAAGTGAAAATAACACTGACATTTCATTTTAACAGATATATTTGCCAAAATTACACAAAAATATCTTGAAATACTGTTGTAGTGTCCTACCTCTAAAGAGTCTATGCTGGACTCTTCCGCCTACTATAAGATTAGTAGGAGAGAAGGCCAAATAGATTGAACGCTGGGTCAACCGACACACACTCACTAGTCATGTAATACTCTTCTGTTGTACTTACCATTTAATATATGATATATCTGTAACACTTTTTTTTATTATTTCTTTAAACATTTACTTGGTCACAACAAATACTAAAGAGTAAATTTATTCAATAAAATCGCCATTGGCTTCAACCATGGCCTCCTGATGACTTGAATCTCCAGCAACTCTTCTGGACAGTCTCCTTTTTTTAAGTTGGTGAATATTGCCATAATCCTTGTCTTCAGTTCATCTTTGGTATTACAAGGAGTGTTGTTGGTCTCTCACACAACTGCACCCCATACATAATAATCATGGAGGTTTCAGTCTGGGAAGTAAGGTGGCCAGATATAAGGGGTGATGTGGTTGGTAGAAATTGTCTGATAGCTATGAATGGGTTCTCCTGCTTGTGTAGCACGGTGCAGAGTCCTGTTGCCAGACATAAGGTCTTCTAGCAGCCACCCTCTTGATCCAAGGCAGCATTACCTCTTCAAGGTACTTGATGTAGGTCTCCATGTTGAACCTGAGAACTTGTGGGAAGATGAATGGAGGCATAATGTTGTCAAGTAAATCTCCACTCTGAAATGTTCGTATTGGAGCTCCCAGCACAAATGGCAAGCAGTACAGTATGCCATTTCCAAATTTCTGTCAGAGCGAATTGTGTCATAGGGAACCTTTTCTTACTGATGGTGCCCAACTGACCATATTATACTGTGCAGTTGACAAAAACAAACAACGTGCATGTGCAGAATTAAAAATATAAAAATAGCAACAATTTACCCATTGCATCCTCTCTGTGTATGTGTGTGTGTGTGTATACATACATACATACATACATACATATATATATATATATATAGATAGATAGATAGATATGGTATGTTTAAGCAGCAAGTATTCATCCAAACAAGTTTGATTAAAAAGAACTGACAAGGTATGCCTGTTTATTTTTCCAATTTTCAGATAAGGTGTTGAGCATTGTGCTTGAAGTTGCAGATAAGCTGTCCAAAGTTTATATTTTGTTATTTTTGTTCAAGTACTTTCAACTTTAAAGAATGAATGTGATGTCTGTGTGGCTGTTATCTACACTCTCATATTCTTTGGGAAGCTGGATGTTTGAAATGATCTAGTATGACATCATGTGTAATGGCTATTGGAAATGAGGCCACACAAAAAGATTGCTATTTATTTATTACTAATTTAAATTTTTATTTTATTTTTTATTATTATAATAAAATATGTGCGCACATTAATTATATGCATTTCAAGATACAATCTCCTGTGGTGAAATATATTTTATTTAATGTGGTTGTTTATTTTGTATAAAATAGTTTCTAGGGTTTTGAGTCTTTCCTTGCATTGGGTGCTCTAGAATATTTTGGCGTTATCCACTAATATGTATCTTATGTTGATAGTTGTACTTTGGTTGTTCATATGTGGGTCTCAGCAGGTGACAGGTCAATCTGCAAGAGATTGTGGTGCATGTGTGCCCAATGTAAATATTTAATGTTGTGTTTTGATTGTTGTATTGGAGATGCAATCTCCCAGGAGGGCATGAGAATTCAGACATTATTTTTATATAGGAGGAATTTAAAAGGACTAGTGTTGTTGGTAATAATTAAGTTAGATATTTTAAACTTATTGTAGTAGATGATAAATCTTAGGTCTTTGTTAGGATCTTGAATGATATGAACCAGTAAATTATGTTTTTAATTGCTTTTTCACCCAGTTTATAATTAGGGTGCAGATTTTTGCATGCATCAGAGAGGGATCTGACATCATTTTTTCTATGTCATTAAGGCTAATTTTATTTGTTCATCAATGACAAGTTTAGGGAAATTATTGTTGATTAGGGTTTGTTTAATGTTCCTTATAGAATAATATGTCCAAAGTAGAGATTACTTTAGCTCAATAAATCATGTTTTTATAACAGCTATTTTGTATCTGTGGGGACATTCACTTTTGTAGTTGAGTAAAAATGAGGGTTTTTGGTGAAGGGAGGTGGTAAAATTATGGCTATTGGCATCAACTAATACATCAAGGAAAGTGATTTTATTGTTGATGTTGAGTTTCTAAGTAAAGTGTAGGACAGAGTTATTTTCAAAGGTTTCCTTCATTTTTATAATTTCTTCTAAGCCATTTGCTAATATATGTTGTCAATATAGTGTGTGTATATGGGGAGTTAGTGGGGAGGCTTTGTGGAATTAGTGAAGACCTTGTTTTTCACATGACACATGTAGAAATTAAAATTGGTCCAAGGGCCAAACTCACTGCTATTTATACATATATAAATGTTGCCATAGTGATTGTACAAAGGTACTTGTGTTGTGCAGGAAACAAGTTTTTCGTAGAATAGTTGGTCTAATTCTAAGAGGTGGGAACAAAGGGCGATTGTTTGTTCTATAGGACAATGTCTATAGTTTCTTTTACTGGGACATAAATAAATTTTCTACATCTTGGGAGGCTAGGATGCCATTATTCATTTTTTTTAGACTGTAGTATATTGAGGAATTTGCTAGTGGACTAAATGATATTTCCAAAGAATACAAGGATGCAGACAAAGAAATTCGAAGTAACACACAGACACTACAACATCAATTCTTGATAACAACTGTGAAAGTTGAAATTACTTGAAAAAAATAACAAAATTTAAACAGTTTATTCACAATACTCAACACTTTATCTGAAAATTGGAAAAATACAATAAAACATTAAACAGACAGATCTTGTTGGTTCTTTTTAACCAAACTTGTTTGGACATATATAACACACACACACACAATGGCCCTGACTTGTTAAACAAGCAATGACCAATGCTTTCAAGTTTGATCAATTTTTTTGGTTCTCATGAGAACAGCAATGGCTCTTAAAGCATACAAGTGACTTGCAATACTTATTACAGATAGGGCAAGCTAAGTTGTTTTGTACAGAATCTGGTGAGTGAGGACGGCGTGGTTTGCAGGTTTTTTTGACACACCCCGCATGTTATTTTCAATGTAGTAATGATCATAATTTGTGAAAGCTCAACCAATATGGCTCTTCTTGTGGCTAACAAGGCCTACATTGGAGAGTCATACTCTGCCCCATTCATAAAATGTAAATTGCTGGATCAATGATTTCTCCTAGCTACAAGCTTGACATTTGCCCAAATCATTACATGTTCTGTGAAAATCTTATTGCTTTCATAAATTGTATGCTCCCACCCACCATTTATATAAATCACAAGCAGCAATTTCCCCCAATCAAGATCATCTATATCAGAGACGGCAAGAAACATTTTTAAACAGTCCTTGGAAGTATAGAGCAATTTGCCATAGAGCATTTGTTTGGGTTTTCTGCTATCATCAAGGCGAATGACATTACTTGACCATGAATGTATGCTGATTGTGATGACCTTTTCAAATATAAACAAACATTAATATAATTTATGGTGTTCCAAATTCAAGGAGAGACATTTAAATGTTTTTTCAATTTATTTCTCTTCTTCACCTAGAAAATACATTGAAAAAAAATTTAAACTTCTTCACTACCCACATTTCATCCTCAATGCTAGAAAACAAGCTTACAAAGTCCAAAAATTAAAAAAAATAGACACCACTGATAGCACTTTTAACATCAACAAAAAATTCAAAATCTTACCCTCTAATACTCTTTCTATAAAATTTGTAAATAAATTAGTTATCCCTAATACTAGGATCTTTACCACCACCTCCAAGACAATTAGAGATATAATTACAAAGAAAAATATATCCAACACCACTTCAGATGCCTGTAATTATCTAAAAAATTACTTACAATGTAAATGCTCTTATATCTTGATCTTGCAAATGTCACCCTAATTAAAGAACAATTTTTTTATGTCAAAAGTATTTTGAGGGATATTCTACCAACTATAGACACATGTCAAAAATATTATATCACCAACCTTTATTTAATCCATTATCATAGAATCTAATGCATGTTTATCTAAAACAAATTGTGTGTATGTAAAAACATTTCCAAATCAACATGCAAAAAAACCACCAAACATAATGGCTACTAGACATACACGCACTTACACATTTACATTAATCCTCCTGAATCCCCCCCAAAAAACTAGAATTATTATACACTTACATACATAAAGCAATATTTTTTCGGTCAGGTTTGAAATCCGTTAATTCCTTGGAACTTCAAAAGTATGTGCCGTCTCACCTTGAAATCAAGGGGAACAAATCTTTTGCAATCACGGAATTGCAGAATCGTTAATCTTAAATGGAATCTGGGGTTTTATTGTAATTTTCAATAATAAATAAATTAATTATTTTATTTTTTTTTTAGTTCTTTCAGAACTTAATAACTGTCTATACAATTTTGTTAAGCATTTTAATAAATATAACATTAACAATAACATAGTTATTTCCTTAAAATTTGTTTTTACAAATATTTGTAATTATTTTTCCTTTTAAGACCCAAAAAAGAATTAAAAAAAGTTTAACGTCTTGAACATGCTCAAGCCTAAGCTGGAAAGCAAGTCTCAATTCAAGTGGAAATGGGGAAGATAGGCACTAGATCATATCAAAAGTAGAAGGAGAGAGAGAAGATCAAACCAATAAGTTTAACAAATTCATTTCCTTTAAGGCCTCACAATTTGCAAGTAAAAGATTCTAAACAACTTGTAACCTTGTGTTATGAATATGAAAGAAAAGTAAATTCTATCAGATGGTTACAATACAATTTAGAAATAAAAAAAAAAGAAAATTTTTCCCCCAAAACACCATTCTTTGCTCGAATGAACTGTCTACTCTGAAGCTTACTGTCACACAGCAATTCTCCTGGATTAATAATTGCATCATCTTCAGTGCTTCACCACTGTAAAAGAAATTTAAATTTTGGAATGCAAATAAGAACAGATTTCCTCTTCTGGAACAGATTGCCAATAAGATCATATGGATGCCTGTTAACAGCATAGATATTGAACGTTCATTTTGTCAGTATAAACATTTACTCAATAAACAACATGAAAGTCATACCCCTGAGAACACCAAGCAACTCACAAGGTTGTATTACAATGGAGATTTAGAGAAGAGATTAGAAAATTAGGTATTTCCCAAATTAAAAAATTAGCAATGTTAAATTTGAGCAGTATTTCAACCCGGGATAAGTTGTTTTATTTAAATTTTGAATTAATATGTCTACTAATTTGTTTTTTGATATTTTGTTAGAAAAATTCAGTTATTATGATTAATTACTTTGTAAAATTTTAGTCAAAATGTTTGACTTTATTCAGATATTTATTATTGAGATTCAAGTTATTTGCTGTTGATACTTTATATGTGATTTTTATATTATGAATCAATAATTATAAATCAATCTGAATACTTAAAAAAGAAAAACAATTTGAATGTGTTTTGAATGCCTTCTTAAAGAAGGAAGCTCTGATTAAAAGTTCTACCTCCAAAGATAATTATGGACTGTAACATTCCATTGTTTTATTGTTTAGTCATGTTACATTTTTTATTTTTACATATAATTTATTTTTGGACTTGGATTCTAACATTTAAAAAAAGATTTATAGATATTTGCTATTTGTTTATATGCAGTAATGTAGTGGAGACTTACCTCGGCTACCTAAAAGGGCCAGAGTAATGTATATGTTTTGCAATGGAGTGTGGAGATGGCAAATTGGCGAGCTTCGGACTGAATTTGAATCAGGCAGCGCTTCGTGTGGGCAGAAGTGGTGGTGTCCCTTGTAGCCATTCTTATTGACCGGTTCTGGGCACTCAATGGCTGAGTGATGGCTGGGTAAGGTGCATAAAAGCACTGTAGGTTCATTTTTGACGAGGAGTTGTGTACTTGAGATTGAGGAATGGAGATAATTGTGGAATTGATTTGCCTATTGGATCTACTGGACTTGTAGACAGATTTTTTCTTTTTTTATTTGTGTGTACTTCTGACCAATTCTCACACAAGCTATTTCAGTTAGGCACACATGGAAGACTTCTGTCTGCATCCTAGGACCAACTGACCTGTGCCTGACCACCGTTGGCATGGAACCTTTCTCCACTTCAGTCTTCGAAGGTTCTCATTTGAATATTTGCTACTACCACCAAGATCTGCACCCGCGGTTGACTCCACCTGGGCTCAAGTCTTAGGCTTCCATGCTCACCACAGCAACCACTATTCCATTTCCACGCCTTATTATTTTGGTCTAATATCATGTTGAAATCAGAATGGCGGCGCACAGATTTAAGTTTCAATCAGGAAAGTGCACTTCACCCGATCTAGTTAGGTGCACGCCTCTAAACTTCCTGATTGCATTGGTCCCTAGAAGATCAAATTCCACCAATCGTTTATCTACAATCAGAGCCTCAATAGTCACAAGATAAGCCTGCCCAATGCCCAACTTAATTTTGCCATAATCACGGCACTTCAAGGTCCTCCCATCAACTGTTAGAACTTCCACTTCCTTCTGCCTCCAAAGACAGCATGCAGCTTTGCTCACCAGTGTCTGTTAGCACTCAGAGTCCACCAGAGTATCACACTTCTGTCCATCGACAAATACTTCTATAGCAGGCAGTTCCCGTTTCTTTAATTGCTTGGGAAGAAGACTGGTGTTGACATCCTCTTCCCACCGGTGTTTCCCTGATATATGCACTCTGATGATATGTGCACGATCTTGTTGCATTTAAAACACTGCATCTCACAGCGGGTCCTTTGCACTCAATTATCTGTCCTCTCTGAATGCCTCTGCATACAGTCTCTGGCCATATGATTAGGGCCAGAGCACATGACAGCCCCACCTCGTGAGTTAGTAGGAAGAACTTCTTTATATGTGTTTGTTGAATGATGTTTTGTTTTCAGTTTTAAAAATAATTATAGCATAATGTATTGCAGATTTCTCATAAAATACTATAAAAATAGAAAAAATGAAATTTCCCAAAGGTAAAAACAAGAAAAAAATGGAATTTACCAAAAGTGAAAACAGAATCAAGGAAAATTTGAAACGGAAAATCAGGGGGGCTAGAATCAGAATGCCATAAATTATACTAATATTTGTTTAACAAATCATATCTACGTGAAACACGATTAACCAATGAAAATCAAACAACACAAAAATAAAAATAGCAGAATTTTTCCTTCTTTTTCTCCACATCTCATTCACTGATGAAGCTTTAAGAAAAGTGAAACATGTTAGAGTGATAAACTTTTTCTATTTGTTCTTTATCTTACCATATATGTGTGTGTGTATGTATGTATATGTATAGATTTTAACATGAATTATCTCAAATTGATTGTTAAAATTTCTGGATAAGAATAAAAAAAAATATAGCATACCTCAAAGTTTATATAATATTGTAGTTGACTAATAAACTGGACCATTTTGGAACAAAGAACATGGCAAAGGTGCAATACTCCATTTAACTCTGGAAAAATTAAGATAAAATTATAAATAAATTCTGAATTTAAATTCATTTATTATAAAAACAACAAATCCTAAATTTACATAAAATTGATAGTTTTTGTCTGATATGCTGGAAAGTTAACATTTGAAGATTGCAAAAGTAACTCCATCTCAAAGGATATTGAGCTACAAAAGGAAGTAGGAAACACGTTTTTTTCCAACAGTTTAAAATGTACCAATGGTTGAATGCTACCTGAAGTTGTTTGCAAATAAAATATAAGAGAAGCTGGTGAAAACTTGAGATAGAAATGATAAGACGACAAACCAACAAGCAACCTATCAGACCAGAGTTGTAATTTATGTTTATTATGCAACTAAGAATGGTATTTAAGACAAGGTACATTAATATATTGTATAAAATATGTATTGTTACCCACAGCTAAGGTTCCCATTCTATCAGTCACTCTTTCTTATCCACACTTTGCTTAAATTTTTTATCTAAGTAAGTCAAAACCTTGTCAAAACAGAAAGAATAGCTTCAGGATGGATGACCAACTCTGGTTTCTAGAAAGAATAACACTGAGTTTATCTGATAATGGTCACAATTTCCAATTTAATTATAATTTTTTTATAATTTTTCCAGCATTCATTTTTCTATCTATCAATACAATTTAAAACTTCAGGATATTTTTTAATTTCTCATAAAACTAACTTCTATCTCATAAATAAAATGATTAATGATTGACAAATGGTTATCTCTTATTTTGTTCACTTAGAAAACTGGCTAGTTTATCTATCTAGTTTCACTCTTGCTTTTTTTTTTAACCAAATTATCCAGAAGCACTTTTGGCTGATTTCCACAGACATATTAATCTAACTTTTAGAATAACACATGGCCAGTTAAGAAATGCCACCTGAACTATTGTCTAAGCCAATTCTCTTTTCCTTTGGCAGATATTTTCTTTGTGTGTGTGTGTCCAGTTTAATTTCTGCTCAAATCTCACTTCCTCTTGGCTTTAGTTAAAAATAGCAAATTTCAATTTATGTAAGAAAACAGACCTCAAGGTACTTCTGTTGGATGGTTAAAATAGAGTTATCTTGATAGATTAATATGAAAAGTCTAGGTAGCTATTCTAGATAATTTTGATTTTACTAATATACCAGAGAATTTGTTCTTCATATACTTCTATATGAATAAAGTAGTAAAGAGACTTATATTTTAAACAAAAGTATCCGTCTATATTTCTGAGATGAGGTATGTATGCGGCCTTCATCAGGTGGTTGGAATGTCAAACTGAACTCTTTATTTCGCTCACTGGGGCAGACTGTTCTAGTTCCACGTGCCATGTCTAATGGATGTCAGTTATCAGTTATCTCCTGTTAATTACCCTCTCCAAGTTCTCCACCACATTAAACAGGTGGTGGAGAACTCACTCTTTGTTATCATATAACAGCAAAAATTGCAATATGAGCACTGGTAAAAATGGTTGCTGAAGACATTAGGTTTATAATACCCAGAAATTCATAGACAGATGTCTTCAAGGACACATGGCACAGTGGATAAAGGCGTTAGTTAGATCCAGTGCCAGGACCCAAAGAGTGAGTTCTCCACCACCTGTTTAGTCTTTAGTCATGTTCTCCTTTATGGGGGGAGGTCTTACTTGGGAGAGATATCTGCGAAGTGTTGTCCAGCTTTTGAAGGTTGTCCTGATGTTACAACGGCCAAACGTTGTAATAAATATGGTGACAAAGGTGAGGATAACAGACCGAATAATGTAAATAGTGTACATAATACCTCAGCTTAGAAATATAGACAGATACTGAAGTATCGGTACGGACCTGATACACCAAAAATATGGAGACAAATTGAAAAATCTTACCAGAAACTGGCACAAATAGTGAACTATCTGACATTCCTACACCAATGTAGATATCTACAACACATCCCTTCAGGTTTGGCATCAAGACTTATTGTCAGTTCAAGGAGAGCCCGTCTGGTCACAAAAAAAGTGGGACATGCCCTTGTCCGAGAGAGAATCCAGTGCAATCGTTGGATAAAACAGAGACTACAAGCTCATATCTCCCAGAGGCTCGAGGATTTCTTCAACAGAATTACCAATGAAGAAGACCAGAGAAGGATCCAAAATGACCTGGACAAATCCTCAGACATGAATTCGATGTAGTCAAGGCTTGCCAAGTACAAAAATTAAACAGATTGAAAGATCAGAAGGTGACGTACAAGGTCCATCACCCACCAGTGAAAGCAGTAATCAACATCAGCCAATATCAGCTGAGTGCCTCTGAGGAGTCAGTATTGAATAAGGGTCTCAACTTTGCCAAAACCATCAGGTGAGTGCCATACTTGGACATCATTGCCAGAGTTGAGAAGGTGGCCTTGAACTTCCCTCAGGCTCAGACGGATGAATTAAGATGAAAGGTGAGACAGATCCCTAAAACATCATCATACTACCGGCTGACAAAGGCAATGCAACTATGGTGATGGACAAATCAGATTATACAAGAAAGCTTGAACACCTCATTAGCAATGGTAGCTATAGCAAAGTAAAAAAGGATCCTACAATGAAAACGGAATGCAAACTGTCACACATACTAATCAAGAACAAAGATCACTTCGCACCTAAGATGTTTAGGCAGTTATTGCAGTGTTACACCAAGCTACCTCATGTATACGGTCTCCCTAAGATTCACAGTATTCCGCTCAGGCCGATTATTAGTTGCCAAGGCTGTGTGTGTGCCACCCTCTGAGTTGCTTCCTTGTAGATATAATTGATCCATTGATTGGAAAGTCATATGTCCAAAACTCCGCCCACTTCATGGAAATAATCAAAGATGCTCCCATCCTATCCAACCAGATGGTGAGCTTGGATGTAGTGAGTTTGTTTACCAAAGTACTCTGACTCATCCCTAGAAGAATGGACCAGTACTCCAATAGATAATCTGATGGTGATGTTGACTTTCTGTACACAAAGAACACACTTCGGAATGGGATCACACATATATCGACAGGATGAGGGCTTAGCAATGGGCTCACCATTATCACCAGCAATGGCGAATACATACAGGAATACTTTGAGGAAATGGCATTAGAATCTATATCTCTAAAGCCAACTATATGGTTAAGGTATGTAGATGACACCTTCGTACTCTGGTCACACCAGGAAGATGTTCAGGTTCTACTGGACCATGTGAACTCAATAAGACCTTTGATACAGTTCATGATGGAGAAAGAGAGTAACAACCCACTCCCATTCCTGGATGTTCTAATATCTCGAACAGAGCATGGGTTCAAGACATCCGTATACCGTAAACCGACATTCACCAGACAGTACCTCAATTTCAACTCCCACCAACCATACAGCATAAAGAAAGGGATCGTCCGCTGCTTACAACACCAAGCAAAAGTCATAAGTAGCGACCCAGAGAATTAGATAAAGAATTGTTCAGTATAAGTGGTACCCTACAACGTAACAACTACCCTGGGGACATGGCAGCAGCCCGCCCAAAACTGGGATAGGCGGTTACAAGAGGAGGAGGACAACATCACTCAGAAAACAGTCTGCCTGCCTTATGTGAAGGGGTTATCAGAGAAAATACAAAGGATCTGTGGTCCATATAACATCAGGACAACCTTCAAAAGCTGGACGACACTTCACAGATATCTCTCCCGAGTAAGAACACCCACCCCACCAGAGGAGAACATGACTAAAGACTGTGTGTATGCTATCCCGTGAAGCTGCGGAAAGAAATATAAAGGGGAGACAGGCTGCCCCCTTAAGGTAAGGCTTCAAGAAAACCAGAAAGCTGTAACATGAGAGGAAGTGGAAAAATCAGGCGAAAAAATCATATGGAGAGAGAAGGGAGATCACTGCCCTCTGCGGGATCAGGTTGAGATCATAGATAAAGAACACCATTGGAAAATTTGTAAACTTAATGAATCAGCACATATGATAGGCCACAAAAATCTCCTGAGCCAATCAAGCATAGAAATGAATATGGGAACCAGTAATAAGGAGTGCCAGAGAAAAGCAATAATAACAACAAAAATTGCAATATGAGCCCTGGTAAAAATAGTTGCTGAAGACATTAGGTTTATAATACCCAGAAATTCATAGACAGATGTCCTCAAGGACACATGTGGATAAAGGCATTAGTTAAATCCAGTGACAGGACCCAAAGAGTGTGAGTTCAATACCTGGTTAAGACGGTGGAGAACTTGGAGAGGGGAATTAACAGGAGATAACTGATAACTGACATCCAATAGACATGGCACGTGGAACTAGAACAGTCTACCCTAGTGAGCGAAATAAAGAGTTCAGTTCGACATTCCAACCACCTGATGAAGGCCGGAGCATACAACAGCCGAAACGTTGTAATAAATATGGCGACAAAGATGAGGACAATATTCCGAATAATGTAAATAGTGTAGAATTTAAAAGTTTAATTTAAATAGGTAGATATAAAATAAAACAAAATACTCATAACAATTTCAATTATATTTCAACAGGCATCAAACATTTTCCAGAGTTTTTGTCGACTTAATTTCTTACTATATCTAATATGACATGATTTTCGAAATGTTAACAATGAAAATTTTAAGGGCAAATTTCTGTCAGGATTTTAACTTTTATGATTCATCTTTAATTTGCAAATAACAATTAGAATCTAACAATGGAATTTAAATTTTTTTGCATGGCAGAGAAAAAACTAGAGAAATTTCATCAGTGAACTATGGTGATTTGACAGTCACTGCAGTTTCACGAAATTAAAAACAAATTACACTCTGGCTATAGCACAATAGGCATTTTTTCTGATACTACACTCTTTAAAATTATCATTTTAATAGGAAATGAGTAAGTTTAGTACACATCAAAATTATTTTTGCCATTTTCATGTTCAGTCATGCATTATATCAAAGATAGTTATTTTTATACTGTTTGCACTTTGTTTATTTTCACATTCTTTTTTAATGGATTCCCACATTGTATTAGGATGAACTGTGAAAAAGAACAGACAACCAAATTGAGAAGATTACAAAAAAAAAAAATCATATATTGAATATTTACATTATTTACAAACTTTCCTCATCTGTATCATTTTGTTTCAGCTGTTATGCCCTCCAGTCTTCTTCAAGTATATGTCAATCTGAGTAACCCTAAGGGAATTTTCAACAGAACCCTTTATTTAATCTATGGGGATGGAGTGGGGTAGATTGTTCAAAGAAACAAATGGTTCATCTCAGAGAACATAATGGCTAAAACAATCTGATAATAGCAACAAAGATGAGGACATTGTAAATAATAACTTTGCATCCCAGAAATTAAAACAGAAATTGAATAATATTCTTTGATTTGTTCCGGTGCCTCATTAAAGTAGATGAAGAACTGGAAGAAATACAAGAATATATATACATACTTAGAACAGGTAGTAACATTAAAGAAAGACTACAAAAATTAAATAAATTGACAAATAATATTAAATAAAATGATATAAAAGAAAATTTAATTAAAATAGAGAGAAAATGAGAAGTACAGCAGACTGGGTTATTACTTGATTGGCTGAGAACTGCCATGGAGACAAGTGGGCTGCAAATGATTTTACCTTAGTTTTAAGCAACTGGTGTCTTGTGACAACCAACAGTAAAATCTAGATGTGAGATTATCAAAGCAATCAACTGTTTTCCAGTTACAGGAAAGAGGGGAAATAAATAAGTATATATTTCAGTGATCAAGTGACACTTGGCCAAAAGCTAGGGAATTCTGGCTGAGGGCCTATATAGCTATATTCTAGTACATGGGAGTGACAAACCATCTATTTTGATGTAGAGATGTGCAGAGGGTCAGTGAGAGCAAGTTGGTAGCAAGAGAGAGGTCGTTAAAGCGAGATTTAATCAGAGACATAATTCTCATTGGTCAGAGGGTAGATACATTACTTTGTTGTGAGAGAAGACAGAGGTAGTAGTGAAGATATGAGCTACCTACCCCAAAACAGCACCAGGTGAATCCATGAACAAAAAACCCAGTATATTGAAAAAAGGGTTTTGTGTTTTCTTTTCTCAGTTTCCTTATTGAATATATACCAGACCTTTCCCAATTTTTGTTCACATTGACAGAGATAGAGGAATCAAAATGTATAGTTTAGTAAAACTGACCAAGAGCTGGGAAAGGTCGTTATCTTGCAGTAGTAGACTAAAGATATTAATGATATACTGAATATTGTATTAAATTGATATATTATTTTCTACATTTACAGAGAACTTTAATAAGCAAGATGAAAGAATGTGCTGCACAATTAAAGAGGTTTAATGAAGTCGACATCTGATAATAAAATTAAACATTCACAAGCACTTTGAAAGTTATAGATCTTGGGGAAAAAATGATCAATAAGAGTCAAGGTTAAAAATGTTAATCTTCACCTAAAAATAATTAAATGCCTAATATTCTTTACCTAATGACTTACCTGGTAACTGCCTGTAGCTTTTAGCATTTGATATAAGATCCTTCCAGACTGTAGCTAAAATGTACTCCATCCGTTTAGCTCTCCATAGAAAATTGAATGTTCTTAAATACATTATGACACACTCATCATAAAATACCTGAAAAATTATAAAATAAAATTGAATTCCCATATCTATTGAATGCAGTTTTTAAATAATTTGCAGTCCTAAAATCTATCAATTTATTCTCAATTGAAGCTGAAATTTGTGAATTTTGTTAAAAAATTTGTTTTGAAAATAAAATCTGAATAAAGTTGATTATCATAAAAATATTCAATAACTTTTATACAAATTAGGAATAAAGCCATTCTAAAATTTTTACAACTAATGTATATGAACTAAATTGTTTTAGATAAAAACGGGACATACAAGCCTGTCACCAGATTGTTTGAAGTGGTGGGAGGTGACAGCCTTTAAGTCAAAGGGGCTGTGAGTATCAATTTGTACACTAAAATTAGTTCACATCATTTTCGCCAGTGGGAAGAATGATTTTGTGGGGAAATAGGACTTCCTTGGCAATATATCCCATTATCAATTTTGTTAACTTATTTTGCTAAATGTCATTTATGCTACATAAAAAACACTAATTAAAATAACTAAAATAAGCACCTAACATTAAAAATTCATGAAGTTATTGACTCATTTTTTTTCTTTACAAAATATAATTGACATACAGGGAGAGAATTCAAATTTCAAATCTATTTTATAAAAACAAAAATGAGTATAATTTGCACAAACTGATTGCTGCAAATTAATTATAAGTAACTTGCATCAATTTTTAAATTTTAAGATCAATAAGTGTTTATTTTAGGTACCACCAAAATGGATGTGATTTTCCAAAATGAAACCAATATTGCTACCATGTTTTAAAAAATTTGCAAAAATCAGTGAATTATGTTTCAAACAAAGATTTTGCAGTACTCCTTTATTAATGAGTGAATTGAATAGGTTTATTTTATTAGAAAACACTGTGGAAATATTTTTGGAAGGCTAGTTTCACCTCACCTTTTTGATATCTTACATGTACATTTTAAGTGTGTGTGTGGGAGGTGCTGTATAAAGAAAAATCCCTGAAGATGTCATTTCAGTAAAAGATTTATGCAATATCAAGTTTGAACATATGGAAAATTCATCCTGAACCTCACCAAATATTTTTGGTGAGGTTCAGTAAAACTAAAAAATAAATTTTTCTGGCAGTTGATGCTTACATAATTTAATAAAACACATTTTCTTTCAGATTGGACTTAAAAAAAAAAAAAAATAATAATACTTACTATTTACTTTTAAAAAAATTAATTGTAATTTTTCAGTGCAATTTAAAAATTCATCCCATTGCTATTTGTAACAAAAGTATCTTTTATTAAGTAAAGACATATTTGAAAAAACAAAAACTGTAAAGTTTAATGCTATTTTCGAGTGTGAACATTTTTTAAAAGAATTAATATTTTATTTTTTTTCATTTTAGCAACTGTTAGATTATTTTTTGTGTTGATGTTCAAAAGGAAATAATTCTGAATTACTGCCTTTGACTACATTGGAAGAATAATATATGATAATTCAGTAACTCTTACATTTAGAATAATTAAAAAAGAAGATTGATTGCAATATTTTATGATATAAAACAGGTAAGAAAATAATAAAATCAACAAATTAAACTCAAAAGTATTATTTCACTAATTTTTAATTCTTTCTTTATATTTCTAATGTAATATAAAAAATAAAATCATTCATTCTTCTAAGTTCAATAAAAGCATATAGAATAAAAAAAATATATTCTTAAACTACTAGTTATACAAGGTTAAACATAATTAATTTTTTAAACATAAATACCAATTTCTTTATTATTGCACTGCTGATGTTCCATATTTCTTTAATTTTTAATTTTTCATGTTTTTTAGTCAGGGGCAAAATTATGTGTTTGCCTTACGACATCACAGGCTACTGTGCATAAATATTATTTTCATTATATTTTAATTAAAAGTAAACATTACTTTTACAAAATCCAGTTAGTCACTCCTTAAATTTACTAATTGACTTTGAAACACATCTATAAGACAAATATTGGATTTTTAAATTTGTTGTTTATATTTTCTGTTTATAATGGTGGTTCAATGAGTGACAAGTGAATATGCCAATATTTTAAAAATGCCTTAAAATTTCATGTACATTGGAAATGATTTTTTCTAGATTAGTGTTAGGCTATTTAAATTATTTAAAATGTGTGTTTGTTTGGAATTTTTCACAAGTCTGTGTAGTACCTAGTTTATTTAGATTACATGAAAACACTAAGCAGTATAAATGATTAAAATGGAAAGGAAATTCACTCACAGTTTTTATGGGTCCATCAACATGATAATAAAGACTGAAAACATCCCATCCTGTATCACCAAAGGAAACCTTGAGAAAAATAAAATCTATTATTTATTTATGTGCATACACATAAATATACAAGGTAATAGGTTTTAAAAAAAAATTATTAAACCAAAATCTTAAATAAAATAGTGATATGATGCTCTTGAGATTTATTACAGCAACATAATATAAACATCATGTATTTGGTAATAACTGACTAATACTAAATGGAACTAGATTAGATATCTCTAGACATGGCCAGCAGAAAAAGAACAATCTACTCCTGTAAATTAAATAAACAGTTCAAAATTCCCTGAATGTTACCCAGATTGACAAGCACCTGATGAAGGCTGGAGGGCACAACAGCTGGAACATGATAATAGCAACAAAAGATGAGGACAATAGTCTGCACATTAGAGATGGGTGGTTTAACCAAAAAAAAACAACTTTTTTTCAGTTTCATCTTCACACCGTTTTTACAAAACTGAAATCATTCATTTTTTTTTGTTTTTTTAAAGTGCTGAGTGACCATTTCCAAAGAAACCCTATTGAAAAAGACTTTCAGATGTTAATAAAATTAAATTTTATCAACATTTATATACCATTGTAAGAGAAAAAGATTGAACAAAAATGTTAAAAACAGTTAATTGACTATTTTTAGGAAATAAATGTGAAGTCTATTTGTATACAAAAGAAATGAAGAAAAAAGGAAATACAACAGATATGACACTTAGAAATCATAGAATCTTTTCAAACAGAAAAAAGGAAATATGGCATGATGTCTGAAATCTATTTGTTTCATTTAAAAAAAAAAAAAAAAAATTTTGCAGTAAAATTAGGTTATCAGAATAACGAATAAAAATAAAAAAAATACTTGCCAGTTTCATCTTAATGTTAAATTTTATGAAGTTGGATTTTTTTTTAAGAAGGGTAATTGTTTTCTAATAAATCAGTATTCCAATCACAAAATAAAGTTTTTGTAAACAAGAAAAATGAATGAAGATATTTTTTTTTATAAATGAATTTGTTTTTTTTATGTAGGGAATGCACCTAAATTAGATATTAAGATTAATTAATATTATTTCACTTTTAAAATGTGTACATTTCCAAATATGCAAGTCTCTAGTGTAAAATTGTTTGTTTTCTACAAATAAAATTATCTTTCTATGTAACAAATACACCTAAAATTAGATATTAAAAAAATAAAATAAGTTTTAATATGTGTATATTTTTAAAACTGCAATTCATTTTTTTAAAAGTAAAAATTATTCATTTTTAGTCACTAGTCAGTGTCAGACAGTGTAGTTTCAATAATTTGAAAGTTCCTTTACCACACATTTATTACTAACAGTTGCTTTTACTTTTTTTTTTTGCTTACTTTATAATTTTTGAAGGAATTTGATTCCTCGGGTCAGAGAAGAAATCTGTTTAAGATGTCTTCTAATTGAGTGTACAATTTCAAGAATATTGATAAAAATTGGTTACTTGTTACTTTGATTTTGCAAAACAAAGTATGATGTAAAATTTAGTCTCAAAATAAAAAAATCTTATTTTGCATTTTCGGCCATTCAAAGCAAAATACCGTTTTAACTCACTGTAAGTAAAATAATTCATTGAAAAAGCACATACAAATTACATATTTAGAATGAGCATCTTATTTTCTTTCCAGCCATAGGAATATCCTTAAGATTGGACCATAAATACACAAGAAATTGTGAGTTGAACAGAGTAAGTTGTAAATTTATCAATCTCAAACAAAATCAGATATCGACTGGAAATGCTATCATTACACAAGAAAATTAATGGCTTCCTTAGAAAGCAAAAATACTAACTTAAAAACCAAATCGAAAACTGCAGTATCAAGAAAAAAAAAAAACGGAAACTGATATTGAAACAAATTGCCAAGCTGACCAACTCTACTGCAAATAAATAATGATAAATCCTCATCCCAGAAATTCAGATAGATACTCATGGCATCTGTCAACTAAATAACAGTTCAAGTCCTATGCATGTGAAAATATAAACAAGTAGCAAAGTCAAACAAATTCAAGTATTATTAGATACAATACAGTATATGTTAACAGATAAAATTGTAAAATACCTATTTTAAGGCAAATATACTCATATAATGTGTACAAATTACAATTCAATGGCTGGGTGCTGAAAAGTTCTTGGCTTGATCCACTTCCCAAAATCAGTACTCTGATGTTTGGTCATTGAAATATTGATTTTAGGAAGTAAATCAAATCAGGAACTTTTCAATACTGCCTGATAACAAACAATAGTTTGAATAGGAATTAAAAATTGAACCTCCATCATTTTAACATCCAAACGGTCCAAAATGTCACTGTCATCAAATTGTGCATTTGTAGCTCGTATTGCAGCTTCCAAAATTCCAGTGAGGTTATGAGGATACAATGTATTTGCAGGTTTAGCTAATTCCTTCCTGTCAACAAAAATATTAAAGTTGTGAATTAAAATAAAATTATAACAAAACTACATTTCAAACATTCTTCTTAATACAACAGTAACACTAAAAAAAAAAAAAAAAAAAACTACTAATACTTACTGAAGCAGAGTCATTAAATGAGTAATAAAATCTCCTTGGCCAAAAAGAAGATATCGACGAAGAGCCTGTTACAAATAAATTAAAACACTCACAATGAATAAATATAAAATATTTAATTAACAAAAAGTATTGATTAAAAAATTAAAACAGTGCCCATAGAAGATATAGAAAGGATATGCTAATAAAAAAACTTTTTAAATAGTTTGAAAGTGTGATTGAAAATTTGATTATCTTGAAGAAAGCAATAAAAAGTACTTTTTCTTGATCATGTGTTTTGAAATTAAAATTTTATCAGAAAAAAATCAGAACGAAAAATCTTTAACAGTTCTATTTCTCATCACAGAAAAATAAAAAAGGTTAAATCAAAAACTTCCATGCACTTTGGGGTTAATTTAAAGATTTTCCATATTGAACTCAGTTATAATTTTCTCTTTTTCTAATGATAAAGACATATTGTATACTTTAAAACATAATGACAATCATCATGTAACTAATTTTTTTTCTTTGAAGATTTTTCAATGTATTCATTTTTTAAAACGCAACTGAGTCATTCCATGTTAAATCAACAAGAGTTTGACCATCGCTGACACAGATTTTTTTCAAATTTGGTACACTTATAGAGCTTCATGATACGAATTGAATGTTACCTATTATACATCCCTAGATCAATTGGTTACCAGAATATGACCCTTTGACCTTTGCCAAAAAGGTGAATTTTGGAAAATAATCACAAAGTTTAAATATCAATATCTCAGTTGTTTTTTCACATACAAAGCTAAATTATATACCATTTTAAAGTACTTGGATAGGTGATCTATTTATTTATTTTTTTTGTTTAATGATCAAATAAGATAATTATTTTTGGTTTTGTCTACATTTATTTTTTATTTTTCATCAAATTGGTCAACATTGCAGTTAATCTAGCTTGAAGAACACCTCAGAATCCCATATATAGCTTTTGATTATCTACTGCAAAAGGAATCATTATATAGGGTGTTCCAATAACTTGGACAGATATTAAATGTGAATTAAGTTTAAGCATCTAATGATTTTTCTCTTTTTCTTTCAGATTTAACAACTTAAGCAATTTCAACCATGGAAAGATTAACAATCAAACGTGTTAAAGTTACCGAAGCCTATTACGAAAATAGACGTTCAAATTTATAAATACATGGCCCAATGATTCTGCTAGCAAAAAATGCACGCCAAACATTGACCTTTTGTGGATGCAGTGGCTTTTCAATAATCTTCGCCCAAATGTGACAATTCTGCTTATTAACAAATCCACCAAGATGAAAAATGGGCTTCAAGAGGATATTTTGCAAAAAAATCTTCATCAGCTTGTCTTTGCTTGTGCACACAATTGATGAATGTGCAGCGCTCCAAATGGTCAGCAGGTTTTTGTGTCAATTGAATTTTGTAAGTGTGTAGAGACAAATTTTTTGTCAAAATTTGATGTAATGTTGTTGTGGAGAGATTCAATTTTCAGCCACATTCTCGTGCACTGCAGCAATGTCTTCAGCTGAATGGTGTTAACAAGCATGCAATGGGGTTTTTCACGCCTGCCACCAACCCAGTTTGTTTGAATTCACAAACAATTTTTGCCAATTGCACTCTCGGTTGGTCGATTATATTGACCAAAAAAATCGTGAAGTGCATGAAATGCATTTCTGTTTGAACATCTATTTTCGTAATAGGCTTTGATAAATAAGTGAATGTAACGAATTTGACTGGAATTCAAACTCGGAAATATTTTAAATATTTTAAAAGATGCTCATTTTACATGTTTCATAAAATCATTAAATTTCTGTAAATTTTCAAAATTAACTTAAAAAAAGGAATATAATGCAATTTACTGTTTATTTGAAATCTCTTTCCTAGGAAGAGAATGACCATCTCAACTTAATAGATTATTTTAGATTTCATGTCTGCCTCTATGAGTTAATAAAGCACTGACCTCTAAGCTAGGAACTATAGGTTAGGTCCTATTGGAGGCCAACTAATTTTCAAAATGAAATCTGTGGACATTGTCACTAAAATTACAGATGATAGTAATTAATATATATCTTAGCTCCAACTATTAAACATTTATTGATGTATAGTGATGTAGTTTTGACTATAACCAGTGATTTATTCTATTGTGTTTTCTTTAGCAAAGTTTATAAGTGATTTAATGTTCATCTTTAGTTTCAATCCACAAATAATTGACAAGAATATCTTTGACAATAAATTATATTCAGAAAAGAGAAAAAGATTTTTAATAAAATATTAATATTGATTTTTCAAAAGTATATATCAATTTAGGGAGCAATGATGGACATTACTAATAAATTGCAATACTTACTTTTTTATAAAAGAAGATTTGATTGAGAAAGCAAGTCATAATAAAGAAAATAGTATATACCTTCAAATGATCCATAAATTTGTATTTGGTATGCATGCAATCTAACAATCGTAAACTTGTCTCAATATACACTCTATCAATCATCTGCTGAAAACTTGAGTTGGTATTCTGAGTAAACATAGATTCAGCTGATAAAATGAAAACAAAAATAAGTCATTTAAAAAATTTAGTTCTACATGAAATCAAATAAGACAATCAACATTCTGTAAGAGTCATCAAAATTGGCATTTAATTATTTCTGTGAAAGTGACACCTTTTAAAAAGAATTTTCAAAGGAAATTAGTTTACTTTCAACAGTTAATGAAGCTAAAAGGAAGGGATTGCAGAGCTGGGCTAAAAATACAAAAGAGAGAGAGAGAGACACACACACATACACACAAGATGGAATTAAAATAAAGGCCAGACTGGTTGCAAAAGGATTCCAAGATGAAAACTCAGGATATGTTAGAAGTGACTCGCTTACTTGCTCAAAGGAGAGCCTAAGAATTACCCTGACCATCATTGTGGTTTTGACGTTGACATGTCATTCTATGAATATCAAGGCAGCATTTTTGCAATGGAAGCAATTTGAAGACAGTCTTTCTAAAACCTCCTCCAGAAGCTGAAGTTCCTGAATGCTATATATGGAAGTTTAAATGTGCCTATGAAGTGAATGATGCTTCTTGAAAATGGTATTTAACAGTTAGAGAAGAGCTAATGAAACTGGGAAACTGCTCATCTAAGTATAGCCAAGCTATCTTTACATGGAATCATACCAACTCATGTGGATGACTTCTGTACAGGCATTGAAAAATTTGAAAAAAATATGTAATAAAGAAAATCAAGCAAGTCTTTATGTTCAGATCAGAGGAAATGTCAAGTTTCAAATATCTTGGTCTTGAGATTTATCAGCAAAAAGTGTTTATAATATTTAGTCAAAATGAGTTTGTCAAATCAATCCCTATCATGCCTACAAAGACTGATTATAATTCAAACTCAGTGAGCTCAAATTATGTAGAAGCTCAATAGGAAAGCTAAATTGGCTAGCAACACAGACACAGCCTGATTTGGTAAATAAATCAGCTAGAAAAGCTAAGAAAATCTCCTCCAGATTGTTAATACCTAATTTAGACAATCTTGTAAGAATGAAACTATAGTGATGCTGGATTTGCTGGACTTAATAATGGAGGATCTCAAACAGGATACATTGTCCTTCTTGTGGGTGACAATGATAGTTATGTTCATATTTCTTGGCAATCTCATAGAGTCTCTTCAGGGTCTTCACCTCGCCACTGCAGTGAACACAGTTTAGAAACTACCAAACACGGAGAGCCCCACAAATCATCAACCAGGTGAGTTATGCCTCAGTATTAGTGAGACATTTCAACCTGGGCGCCCAAAGCCACATGGAGTGAGCCTCCTGCATTGTCAGAACAAGATCACCTATCAAATCATCATGAATGCCCCCCCACTAACACCTGACATAATGCCTTACAAGACAACGGCTGGACATTGGAGAGGCTATCTGTTGCCAGCAAGAGGTACTTGAGTGCAAGCCGACATTTGCAGTAGAAAGTGTCCTTGCCTCAGGGTAAATGGTCAGCCTCCTCCTCAAAATGAGTGCACACTTCTCAAGGATGGAAAGTTCTTACGAGTGTCTTCCTTTCCAGAATTAGCTGTTCTCATCTGATTGCAAACACATCCAGTCTAGGTAAGAGATGTGATGCGTATGACAACAAATATCATTGCAAGACATACACAGACCGCCTGCAGAAGCGTGGAGGTAACAGATCTCGCAACATATCTTGGGAGCCTTATTTCCCCACAAGAAGGAAAACAAGAGCCTTACAAAACCCAATAGAATGGTATACAGGAGTGGAAATACAGAGAGTCAGTAAAGGAGAATCGGGTAGATGTGTAAACCACATATGTCCACCCTGCCTTTCAAGGAAAGATTCCTCCGGGACCACTGATGAACTGCAAACTTGGCCTTCTCCCTCACTCCCGACCAATTCATTTCCAGGAGATCAGGACCAAACTAGATGCCAAGTATCTTGACCAGACTGTCTGTCCAGAGGAAAGGTCTGGGAAGAGAAACCCCTCCATAGACCCAACCGCAAGTCAACAAACTTATTGCAGTTGATCCTGGCCCCTGTCACCATCTCATGCCCTCTCATTTCCTTTCTGACTTTGTCAATTTTGGCTCTGTTCAACAGAAGTTCCGAAACATCATCAGCGTAGGCTGAGGTGGTAGCAGCAGGTAGGGAAATTCTGCAAAGGACCAGATTCATCTTCAACTTGTGAAGGAAGGTTCCAACACAAGAATGTACAGCAAAGGCGAAAGTGGACAACCTTGATGAATGGAGCGAGACAATACAAAAGGTTTCAATCTTACTCCATTCACTTCCACCAGCATATCGGGAGTCGCATGCAGAATTCGGATCCAGGTGTGAAAGTATGGCCAGAAAATGGTGACCAAAAGGAGAGCCTCTATAAACTGATGGTCAAGCTTATTGAAAGCCCTGAACTGATCTAAATTGATCAGCACGAATTCACTGTTGACTTGCTTAATGATCAAGTGTACCAAATAAATGTTGTCCTGAATAGTCCCGCCCATCACAGCACAAGTCAGCTGAGGACCAATCAGACTAGGGAGGACAGCCTGGAAATGGCTGGCTAAGATTTTGGCTAAAATCTTCAACCCTGTGTTTAACATCAAAGACTGATAATTACCTATCCCATCCCCACCATTTTTGTTCTTGCAAAGCAACTTAATCACACCCCTGGTGAAGTGTTGAGGTATAGACCCCTGCTTCATCTAACTGCTTCAGCTGTCTTGAGGCAGGGAAAATCAGCTAAATAGGCATCTAACTGAGCAGGGCTCAGACTGGGCTCCCTTGTAAACAGCTCCTGAAAGTAATATCAGAAAGCCTCCCATATGTCCGCATCTGTATTCACAGTCTGCTTGTCTGGCAATGTGATGCTTGTGATATATTGACTTGATGCCTTTCGAGCTTTCTCTGAGTCAATTCAGCAGCCATGTTTGTTGCCTCATAAGACATTTTTTTAACCTAGCCCTAACTACTAGAGCTTGATCCTTCTTGATAAGCAAGGAGGCCAGCCCCGCCCTAGTTAACACTACATACCCACTATCATGTGATTTGATCACCCAATCTACTTTTTTTCTTCAAGCCTGCCTTTTTTTAATCCTGATAGTCTTGCTAAAATCAGCGCAAAGGACTTAAGTTTAGAATTTAACTTATCCCACCACTTATTCCCAACGACAGCTCCCGTCAATTCCCGCTGTAACATTAGTAGTATCTGGTCCCGGAAATCTTTACTCACCAAATAATGATGCGTTCAATTTCCAAAAACCAGCCATCCTAACCTTGGGCTTCTCTAAGTTTACATAAACCCGGACAAGCCTATGATCTGAGTAAACGATATCAAGGAAACTTGGATATCCTAAAAGCCCTACATCGAATCTCTTGATTAGGAATCTGTTGATATAGCTACAACGCACCACTGAATCCAAGCTGCCACTCTTCATCCAAGTCTATACTACCTGCTGTGGGTGCTCATTTCAATACTTATCAACAAGATCAAATCCATCGATAAAGTCTCAAAACAAATTAACATCCGAGTTGTTAGTACCTGATCTTCCCCCTATACAATCTATATCAGGATCAAGGATGGCATTCCAATCACTCGCTAGAACTACCAAACGTGATGTCTTCAAAAATGGCTTGATCTGCCAAAACAAATCAGGTCATTCTGTATGGTCATTGGGTGCATAAACCCCAATGAGATGAAGAGCCTTATCCTTTATGGTAATATCCAATATGCAAAGCCTGCCCACTGGATCAACAAAGACAAGAGCACACGCTGCATCCACAGACTTGCTCACCAGCCAGGAAACACCTTTTAAGCATTCATCAAAACATGCTGAATAGAGGATAAATCCCAGAGGCAGAATGTTCTCATGATCACGAATTGAAAACCAGGTCTCCTGTAAACAGCATACATCCACCCAAAGACACCAAAGATCACAAGCAAGCTTCACCTTACGAGACTGACCTCAGGCTCTGGGCATTCAAAATTGCTAACCAGAGAGCTATTATCAGTCTGATTAGGGTTTGGAAACTGGCTTAAACATGGTCAGGGAAAGGATACCAAAAAGCCTCACCCTTTGACCCTTGATCCATCTCATTCTTGATAGTGTTGTCCCGGGAGAGACTGCCAACATCCCAAGGTTAGTTTTAGTGCCCTATAGAGAGAGGGGTGAACTAAGAAAGGGACCCTCTCTGAACAGAACTGTTAAAAAAAAAAAAAAAAAAAAAAAAAATTCAATGCTTTCTGATTCTAACTATAGTTTTCTATGTAGTTCCTATTTTCCTTAAAACTTTTTCATTGTTCACATGCTGTCCATATTTGTAGTGTTCATCAATTTAATTATGTCTCTTCTTCATCTGTAAGGAAGTTGTGCAGCATCCACTGTCATATAGGAGATTAGATAGTATATAGTACTTCAGTTGTTCTTTCACTATTCCTGTGTACTTTCAGATTTCAGTTATGACACTATCTAGATAGTTAAATTTCTGTACCCATTTGATTAAAGTTAATAGTTCTACTTTCTTGCTTTCCTTGCCTACCCGGTTTAAGAGTTGTTTCAGTTTTCTGAGTCTGTCATCAACACAGTGTCATCTACATATCTTATATTGGCAAGATTATATCCAGCAGAGTTTATGGATTATTTTATAGATTCCCCATGTAAATCAAGCTTTTCTGGTATTTCAAGTATGTTTTTGCACTGTACCTTACTAAATGCTTTTGTGTAATCTATGAAACACAGGTATAGGTATTTCTACATTGCTCATTCTGATAGCATTTCTTGTTCCAATGTCTTGAATAAAGCCACTGTTATTCTATTTCTGGTCTAATTCTACTACAAGCTCTATCCATTAGATAAATTCAGTTATGTGTTTTATTAAGCTGACTGTCCAATGGAGTTCACATTCATTTGCCCCTGGTTTCTTTAGCATCACTCTGAAAATAGATCTACTGAAGTTTTCTAGTATTTTGTCACTATCATATATTTCATGTATTATTTAGATAAACTGAGAAACCATCTAAAGCTGACAGCATCTCT